GAGTTCAAGCCGGGTCTCAACTGCATAGCAAGACCCCCTCACAAAAAAAAAAAAAAAAAAAAAAAAAAAAAAAAAAAAAAGGCCACCATCAAGAAATCAAATAATGACCATATTTCCCTTGAGCTATACGTTAGGTCACACATTATGTTCTTTGAATTGACTATACTGTATCTTGGAGATTGTCCCATATTTGGACATAGACAGCGTAATTCTTTCTAGAAGTTGGACAGTATCCCATCATATGGATGGGCGGGCCGGCAGGCTGGCTTGCTTGCTTTCTTGAGACAAGGTTTTAGTACGTAGTTCAGGCTGACCTCAAACTCATGGCAATCCTCCTGCCGTAGCCTCCCAAGTGCTGAGATTACAGGTGTGCACCACCATGCGCAGCTCCATGTGGGCTTTGTATTTTTTTTTTTGCGGAACTGGGAATTGAACTCAGGCCCTTGCACTTGCCAGGGAAGCGCTTATTCCACTGAGCCATGTCCCCAGCCCCCTAAAAATATCTCACTTCTTCCTTTTCCTTTTTTTTTTTTGGCAGAACCAGGGATTGAACTCAGGCCCTTGTGCTTGCCAGGGAAGCGCTTATTCCACTGAGCCATCTCCCCGGCCCTTGGGCTTTGTATTTTTATTACACTAGTCTTACACAGACAAGTTGGTTCCTATTTTTCCTAATGCACACAACAGTTCAGCAAACATACATCATTTCATAAAGCGGTAAGTTCACCTATATCTAAGTCCCTGTAAAAACTACAATCGGTAGAGCTGCCCTTGACAGAGATGTAAATGTAGACTCTCACATCCCTAAACAGAAGAGCTTCTCTCCCTATAAAGTGTTACTGAACTTTTGGTATTGGTCAATCTGATAAAAATTAATACCTCAGTGCAGTTGTAATGGGTATTTCCCACAGCAATGTCTAAGTGAGGCACAATGAATGTGCATATTTCCTTTGATAAGACTGGCTTTGTTGTATGTGAGAGTGCATGGGCATGTGTCACCAGCGGCTGAAGCCAGGGCCCTTTTTTACATTGAAGGCAGACTTACATTACGTTGTTAAGTTCCCAGGCTGGACTCACATTTGCAATCCTCTTGCCTCAGCCTCCCAGTGTTGGGATCACAGGCGTGTATCACCACGCCTCGGTGCTACATTCTTGGTTCCACCTTCACTGTATTACTATTCTTACTGATTTGCAAGAAATTTTGCACTTTACTATGAGTTGCAAATATCCTCTCCTAACCTGGCATTTTCCTTTGATTTTGTTCATAATTGTTTTTTGTATCGTGGGGAGCCAAACCTAGGCCTCATGTTTATGTAGCTCTTGCCATGCAGAAATTATTTATGTTCATTTATCCACTTTTTATAGTTTTTGCCACACTGAAAAGGCTTTCCTACCTTGACATTAGGAAAAAATTTCCCCAAGAACTTTTCTAGTTTTACTTTTTATAATTATTATCTACCTGCAACTTATTCTTAAGTAAGGTATGAAATGCAGTGTGCCCCGCAGTGCAGTAACAGTAGTTGTATCCACTTTCGCTTGGGCTTCCTGGTGGGGCTTCTGCGGTCTGTTGCCTTCGTTCTGGGAGTCGAGCCCCCCCACAGGGTGCACAAAATATCTACTCTGCTGCTGAGTTACTAGTCCTGGTCAATTTTTGGGAAAAAAACCCAAAAAAACCAAACGACCTTTTCCACAAGTGGTTGAGCTGCTTAATGACATTCTTCTGGGCCCATTTTAAAAGGGCAATGTATAAAAAGACCCTTCTATATGTTTTAAAGAACAATTAATTGGTTTATGGAAATCAAAAAATTATTGTATCTCTGGAATGGATGACGGAATCTACGGAGTGGACAGAATAATCACATATGCATAAAGCAATACCAGACTTTAAAATACTGATATTAGGGGCCAGGGAGATGGCTCAGTAGAATAAACACTTGCCTGGCAAGCACAAGGGCCTGAGTTCAATCCTTGGTTCCACCAAAAAAAATAAAAAATAAAAAATAAATAAAAAAAATAAAATACTGATATGGCCAGCATCATGGCACCCTGTAACCCCAGCACTTGGGCACCTGAGGCCAGAGAATCACTATGAATTTAAGGCCAGCCTGGGCTACACAGTGAAATCAAGGGCAGCCTAAACTACAGAGTGAGACCCCATTCCCCAAAAAATAAACAAAATAAAACACTGATATGTAAGTTTTTAAATTATTTAATAATTGAACTATCACAATAGGATACCCATATTATAGCTAGCAGAACTGTTGTGATTTAATTATGTAACCTATACTACTGTAGTTTATAATTAAACCAAAGTATTTTCTAAAGTCACTTGCAATGTTCAAAGAAAATTTAAAATATGATATTGCCTGGAAAATCAAATCATAAGTTTTAGGCAATGATGATGCCTATGAAAACGTGAGGTCTTCCTTACTGGTCTAACCAACCCAAAACACAGAAAAATACAAAGTCTCTCAAATGTAGTTAAGAAAGGGCCGGGGAGATGGCTCAGTGGAATAAGTGCTTCCCTGGCAAGTACAAGGGCCTGAGTTCAATCCCTGGTTCTGCCAAAAAAAAAAAAAAATGTAGTTAAGATACAAATAAAACTGAGCTTTCAAATACTAATAAGGACAAGCACAAGCTAAGAGATAAAAGTATGTTCTTAAGGACAAAAAGCTAAATATTTATTATCTGAAGAAATAAATGGCTTTATGTTCACATGACTTCTTTTAATTAACTGTACACATCTTTAAAGATCAATTTTATAGCAATGGCCGTGACTTGTCCACATGGCTGACACTGACAAACATTCTGAGGTACAGGATCTCAGGATAAATCCTGAGGGGATTTCACTGACCTTATCAGACCCAAAAGCTACAATTCTTGTTGCATAGGTCCTGCTTTACCTTGATCTTAACCATCCAGCAGAAAAGTATAAAAATGAAATATAAGAAGTAAAGCCATGCTATTACGTTGAGCTGTAGGGGACTCAGGTCAACAATTTCTGACACTGCCAGTGAAGTGGAAGACCCAATACTATTATGGACTCCTGGACTCTTTTGGATTATTTTGCTGAGTTAACACACCTATAATATTCAAATAAAGGAACTTAACAAAAAAAGGGTATACGGATGAATGTCCATTTTGTATCTGTGTATTCAAAGTGGTTAGGATAGATAAATAGTTACATTCTCTTAAAGAATAGAGTGATTTGTTCTAATGGTGTTTGTAGATAGTATCTCATGTCCGCATCTTGTACAGCAATTAACCACTGGGAGGAATGTATGCAATGTGTTAATTATTGAAACTGTCCTACCAATTTGATTTGAAACTGTCTCATTGCTATTTGTTTATCAATAAAATTATGGGGAAAAAAATCAATTTTATGTTTTACAAATAAAGTCAATTTTAGTGAATAATTACTAAAAAAAGTGATGACATCATTAACAATACTACTGATAAAGAACCAAAGCAAATGATGAATTAAATTACGTCAGTAAATGAATGAATTTAACACTGGGAAATCTTCATGTCTCCTAAGAATAGCTTGCTTTGTATTCATTTGTAACTTTGGACATAGCAGGTAAATAATAAGACTGTCACATATTTAGAGCTATTTGCCAGGCACTCTCCTAGCACTATACCTGATGTTACTTAATTTACCTCTCAGAGTCCCCTGAGGGGTCCAGAAGCTTGCCCAACTACTAAGTAGCATCTCTGGCCTATTTTATAGTTCTTATCTCTCAGCACTGTTCACCCTTTATCATAAATGTAATTTTAAAAAACATGTCAGTTAATTTGAGAAATGTAACACTGCTCAACTAAATATACATTATTCAGATGTAAATACAATAATGTTTATTATAAAAACCAAAATTAAGGGGCCGGGGAGATGGCTCAGTAGAATAAGCGCTTCCCTGGCAAGCACAAGGGCCTGAGCTCAATCCCTGGTTCTGCCAAAAAAAAAAAAATAAAAAAAAAATATATATATATATATATATTCTTGAGAGACTATTACTTAGGACTCTCGCTGCAATTTTTCTATTATATATTCAACTGTATAACTGAATTAAACTTTGATATATAAAATAGTGCCTCCATTAAATACGTAAGAACCCTGTATGTAAAGCAGGCACCTAAACTCTCTTTCTGTTCAAAAACATTTATTAGATAGAAAAATGCAGGGGAAGTCTACATCAATAGACACACATATTCTATATAAATTAAAAAGAAATCAACTATCTAATGATATTATAATAAGTCTAATTTTTTGTTATATAATTCCTGATGTTAGGAAATGCTACAGAAGTTTTTCATTTCTTTGCTTGGGATTTTGTTTTTGTACAATGAATCAAACTCAGGACTGCTTGCTAGGCAGGTGCTTATATTCCTGGCCTCAGAAGTTAATTTTTTAAAAACTTGACATTATAAAAACTACTAAAGGGGCTGAGGAGATAGCCTGGCAGGGGCTGGGGAGATGGCTCAGTAGAATAAGAGCTTGCCTGGAAGTGCAAGGGTCTGAGTTCAATCCCCAGTTCTGCAAAAAAGAGATAGCCTGGCAGTCTAAGGTGCCTGGCTGGCAGCCTAAGGACCCAGGTACATTTCTTGGTATCGCATGCCATGCTGGCCAGGAACTAGGAGTCCAAGCTGCATGAAGAGACGCTGTACTAACTAATCAACTATTAACTAAATGCTACTACAGTGATGATCATCTTGGATTCTATGATGATTTTTCTTATACACATGAAAATATACATCAATGTATGTGTGCGTGTGTGCATGCGTGTGTATGTAGAGGTATCATGTAAATGCAGCTTCACCTTAACCAAAGGTTCCACCCAAGTTCCCTTTCTTACCTTCCGTCTTTCAGGTCCCCCGAATGCAATGTGTTTCGCTTCTTCCACAGTCTCACAAACAAGACCATTTCCACACACAAACTGGATCACTTTCTTCAGCTGAGGAAATTGAGTTTTTATGACATCAACCATCATTTTACAACCTTTGATCTCCCTTAGTCTTTCATTGATTGGCTTGATCTGAAAGGTTTAAAACATTTCATGCACTACTTATATTAAAGTACAAAGCAAATACTCACTACATTTCTATAAAACAGACACATTAAAAAAAACCACAGAAGCATGACAAGAGATTAACAGTGGCATTTATATATAATCATAATTGGACAAGGATGCAAGAAACTACACCCACATGTCTCATGTAGTATTTTTCAAAAACACAAAAAACTAAAATCAAGAAGATATAACTTCCAAATGAGACACTGTCGAAACTCCTTTACTGTCTCAACACTAACTAGTTGGTACTAAAGAACAATAATGTGCTTCATCTTCTTCAGATAAAATCTAGGAGAAAGTAACATCCATTTAGCTACGTGTCAACACATCAGCACAGCACTACGGAAATTTAAAAGCCACTCTAGGCTTAAATTGACCTTCTAGAACCTGACTTTCAAGTTGCGCTTAAAAATCACAGTTTTACAAAGATTTGCAATGTGTTCCTAAAAGCCAGGAAGTACGATCACTTTTGTTATATAAAAAAGTAAATGCCCTATAAATTGAAAAACTGTATCTACTCATGGAAAAGCAATTTAAAAGTAGTTAGTGTACAGAAATGGGCACTGAGAAGAGGTAGACATATTTCTTTTATACCTGATACACTTCTCTATTAGTTTTTTAAAAATCTACTTAAAAGACCTCAAGAAAAGTAAAATAGGACTGTAACAGGGAGATAAAATCAGGTAAGAAAGCTTAGTGAGCAGAGGGATAAGCAAGCACAGAGGCACAGACGGCAGGGCTTCTGGGAGCGCCGGCAGCGTGCACTTGCTGAGCTCCTCCTCCACGCAGGTGTCGCACCTGGGGCTTCCCACACAAGGCGAAGACTTACTTCACAGGTAAAGAACTGAAGCTCATAAAAATTAGGACCAAATCAAGAAGGTGTAGGAGTAGGGCGGAGAGGCGAGCTCAGGGGAGGCCAGCTCCAGCACAGGGCTCTCACCAGCCATGTGCTCCGCCTGCAGTTCAGGGTTGACTGCTGGACCAAGCTGAACAACTTTCTTTAGTAGGCAAAGAAAAACCACTGACGGATACCAATCATATACTAGAATTCTGGATTCTGAATATCCTAAAGCATCTCAATATATACCCCAAAGCTCAAAAGATAGGCTGCTCCACTCAGAACTGACAAATTGGACCAAATGTTTACACAAGAGACTGAGTTGCAAACTGAGTTTTCACTTTTACCAACAGACTACACGTCTTACGTATCTCCTTTAGTTCTCTGTGAACACAATACATTGTTGGCCAGCAGGTAGAGGGGCGCACTGACCGAGCCACGGGCTCAGACCCGAAGGCAGAACTGTGGCAAGCCTGAGCTAGGAGGATGTGATACAGCCCAGAAGGGCTGCGCCAGGAGCACAGCTGCTCCGCCAGTCCACAAACACTGGCGTCTGGGTGACTGACTGCTACCAGGTAGCCAGGCTGTAATTTTTCCAAAGTGGCCACAGTTTTAGGCAAAAAAGATAAAAGATTTGATGACTACTCAACACCAAAGTCACAACTTTCTTACATCGAGGTAATCTAGAGCAAGGAATGTCTCAGGCTCAGCCCTTTCCTCCTTCAGAAATCGGATGCAGTCCTTGGCCACCTTTTCAGAGGCTACTACGATGGCTATCATGTACCGGCCGAACAGCTTGGTCACAGCCAGCTGGTACTTCTTATGAATGGGGTGACACAGGTCAAGCAGCCTTCCAAACTGCAGATTTCAAAAGAGAAGAGAAAACAAATACATCAGTGACAAATGTTATTTTCTTTGCTTTCTAGTAATAAAGAAGCGCTGGAAAAAATGGCTCACTTGTGAAAGTACACACATATACTAGACTCTCATTCCAAAGAATGAGGTGTATGAAATGTTCACTTTGGTGTGTCACACTTCCTGTAGCCTTACTAAAGTATTGTAATTGCTTTTATAAAAGTAGTTATTGAATATTCATTTCTTTTTTCACTTGGAAAGACTCTCTAAGGCACCTACTACATTGAAGGACTGAAACAGACATTACTGAACAAAAGTTTCAAATCTCTCAAAATTTTCAGAATAGTAAGGGAGAAAGACAAAAATAAAAGGATGTACAAAGCAGAGCTAGATATGGTAATAAAGTCTAGAGTGTTTTGAGGGTACAGTCAGAGCCCAGGCTGGCCTAAGGATTCCAAAGGACCCCTGCCCAGAGAGTGCTGAGCTGAGACAAGTGGCCAAAGTGGAGCGCCATGGCAACCCCTGGAGTCCCAGACCTCTAGAGCTGAGGCACGAGAGTTGCAAGTTTGAGCCTAGCCTGGGGAACTTAATGAGACCCAGTTTTAAAATAAAAAACAACAAAAAAGGTTGGAGATGTAGCTCAGCGCTAAGGTCCTGGGTTCAACTCTTAGTACTGCAGTACTGCCTGTCCTCACCAAAAAGTGACTGAAGTTAAAAAAAAAAAAAAAACCTTTGCTAGAAAATATCTGAGTATAAATCTTGACCCAAGTACTCTTAGAATAGCTTAATGATTTTTTTTAAATTTATGTATTTGGTACAGTGTCTCACTAAGCAGCTGAGATTTGTAGTGATCCTCCTGTCTCAGCCTCCCCAGTGCTGATTACAGGCATGCATCACCATGCCAGTTTTGGTGGCTGGCTCGGCAGGCCTGGGGCATGGCTAGTGTGACATGGGGTGCTGGGAATTGAACCCAGGTCCTTGTGCTTACCAGGCAAGCACTTAGACTGCTGAGCTATCTCCCCAGCCCTAGCTAATAGTTTGATTATATATTTTTGGATTCTGTTTCATTGGTTATTTTACTTTAGGCATGCCAGTTTTATGATAATCGAGATCTTTGTCTTCCAATATTTTTTCCTGTTTAAAGTATGTTTTTCTTTTTCAGGTTAATTTTATTTCTGGCAGTATAGTGTACTCTTAAATATTTTTCATTTATTATTCTGTTATTAAGTGTGGATTGTTACATATAACAATGTTTGATCTTGTTTTCTTAGCTCTATATTCTTTTTAAATTTTATTATTTTTTTGATACAGAGCCTTGATATGCAGCTCAGTGTTGTAGTGATCCTCCTGTCTCAGCCTCCCAGTGCTAGGATTACAAGGGTGTACTACCACACTGGGTTCTGGGGCCAGCACAGCATGCGGTACTGGGGATCGAACCTCGGTCCTTGTGTTTGCCAGGCAGGAGCTTAGACCGCTGAGCTATCTCTCCATCCTGTTTCTTTTAAATTAGTTTTACCTTGCATCTGAATATGTTTTTAGGAATTCAGGATCTTATTAATTTGTCTGTAGCACAAAATGCAGGGGATTTTGCCCTGCAATGTTCTAAACATGGCTCTTGTAAACGTATGCGATACGTTCTATTACTCTATGGACCTGGCGCGAGTGTGGGATTCACCCTCAAGCTGTGTGGCAGGTGCCTAGAGCCTTCATTTGCTGGCATGCAGAACGTCTTGGCTCCTTTCGCACAGCCCTAAGATGGTCGTCTCCTCGGAGCAACAGCTGGGAGGATGTGTGCTGTATTTCCCGTGCTACCCACATTCCTGTCACCTAAGGACCCAGAGGGCAGCCGGCCCCAGGTCTGTAAGAACAGTGTTTGATCATGTGGTTCTGCCGTGTCTTCTGCACATTTTGTTATTCTGGGGAAGGCACACCTCACCTTGGAGAGTTTTCAATGTGCCCGCTCAACCTAATGAGGAGCCAGGGATGCCTCACTTTCACCAGACAGCACTGGAGGTTTATGTTTCCTGATTCACCCATTTTTAAATCTAACCCTCCCCAGTTAGAAGATAAAGAGGAAAAGAATATTGTGTATGGGTTTCTACCTCAGGGATACTCCAGGTAACAGGTGTGAATTACCAGGAACTAGTCCACTGATTAGCTTAACTTAAGCAAAAGTTCAGGGTTATTATCATTCCCTGAAATTTATGGCATTACACCACCTGTTGAACTGTTTGTTGTTTTGTTTACTGACATTTGTATTCTATTAGACACTCCGGGAACAAGATTCTGTGACCTTGCCTTATCCCTGCATCATTATCCAGAAGTCAAAGCCACCGTTTAAAGAGCCAGAAATAGGAGGGCTTGTGGGTTAGCTCAGATGTTTAAAGTGCCTGCTCTGGCAAACCCAGTCAAGGAGCAGGGGACCACAGTTCAATCCCAGGTCCACTTGCCTTATAAGACCTGCCCTTAAGGCAGCCTGAGCCAGCCAAAATAAATAAATAAATAAAAATAAAGAGTCAGAAAGAAAAAAAAAAGCGGGAGATGATTAGTAGGGTGAAAAAAAGCAAGGAGATGAACAGTTGGGTGAACAGAAAGGAAGTCATCCACGAAAACATCTACCACAGAGGCCAGCAACAGATGTTCTGAAGTGGAGCAACGGCCAATAGCACCAAACCCTGGAATGAGACCGTCACAGAAAAAGGACCGTCAGAACACTTGGGCCTCAGCAACAGGAGTCAGAAGCCAGACCCTGGCACCACAGGACCTAACAGGCAAGGCTGAAAGCCCATCATCAGGGGAATCATGCGCCGTATTCTGGCCAGCGAGATACATGCAGTGATCCTGGGTGCAGCCTGACTTAGAGAATGAAAATACGCCAGCAGTACCTGCTCAGACTGCCTCATGACACCCAAGGCCCTCAGGGACCCCGGTCTGCACATGCGTTGCTGGGCACTGCTTCTGCATCACGCTTCTTCCCAGTAGGAACTCATTTACAATTATTGTGCAGTTGTTGTCCTCTAACCCTAATTATCACTGTAATATTTACATGGGAATAAACTGGCAAGTACAAAATGCAGAAGATTTCTGAAATATCTTAGTACCATAAAAATAAACCACAACGGTTTTCTGATCTAACACCTCACAGTGGCAGTTATTTCTAATCTCCCAAAAGATTATTTTCCCCAGAGGAAAGAGCACAGCCTCCCACTCTGCTCATCCTGGTTACCACGGAATCTGGGTAGAGCCACTTAAGGCGCTCCAGCGCTTCTGCTCTCTTGAGCTCCCGGTTTCCCTCGTGGCTGTCAATTCCCGCATTCTGCAAGTCACTCCTGATACGATTCAGTTCTTCATTAACTTCAGACATTCTTGATTTTGCTTTTCCAATTTCCCCCACCATGGTTTCCTCTTGCTGTCTTTTCTCATTCAAGAAATCCCTATAAAACAACGAAGTATATAGCAAAAAGATAAAACGAAAACTTAAAAACTGCCAGAGGCAACATGCCTTTGTCTGGATTTGCAAGAGAACATTGTAGTGCTCTATTGGCTTTTCTTTTCTTTTCTTTTTTTTAATGTACTTAGTACAGGGCCTACAGGTCTCACTGCACAGATCGGACTCACAGTGATCCTCCTGTTTCCAGCCTCCCAAGCGCTGGGATTACAGGCGCGCGCCCCCACTGACATCTCAGCCTGCCCCGGAGGCGGGGCTGGCACGGCATGCCAGGATCGAACCTGACCCCCACACTCTGCCTAAGGAGGCACTTTAGTCCACTGAGCTATCTGGCTGACCCTCTGTCGGTTCTTAAAGGATTAAAAAATAGAAGACAATATGTCTAACACAAACTATGGGCAAAAGAACTCTTGATCACTCTTTATTGATTTGAAAGTATATTTTTCTAAATACTGAAAAATTAAGACAGCTAACTTTAACTAGAAAAAAAACCATGTATTTTAAAATAAAGAAATATCAAATAATTAAAAAAAAAAGGGCTGGTGAGATGGCTCAGTGGTCTAAAGCACCTACTTAGAACAAACTAAGCTAAGCAAAGCGCAGGGACCGCGGTTCAATCCCCCAGCACCACATGCCAGCCAGCCACGCCCCCTGGTGGGCTGAGCTGGCCACACATGCGCGCACACACACACACACACACACACACTAAATAAATAAATAATAAAAAAAATAAAATAAAGAAATGTCAATTAAAAAGAAATCCTTAGTGACAAGTCATCTAAGTTGCATTAGCTTTCACA